GAGAATGAGTGGTTGTCTGTGTCTGCATCAGTTTCTTGTGTCTCTTCTTGGGCTCTTTTCCTTCTGTTTTTTTTTTTTTGTTATTTTATCTTATTCCTATGTATTAGTTTTTGTATTGCCATAGTATAGCGTAGTATAGTATAACATAGCATAGTGTAGTATAGCGTAGTATAGTATAGTACAATATAGTATAATTATGCCTTAGAATCCTGTTTATTTCCTAATAAGAGACAGAAAGGAGGTAGACCTGGATGGGTGGAGATGGTGGAGGAACTGGGAGGAGTAAAGTGAGGGGAAAGCCATAATCAGGACATATGTGAGGAAGAAAAGGCTATTTTCAATAAATGTAAAAAAATGTGAAGTCTATGCCATTTACCAGAGTAGCCTCAAGAATTACTAAAATGAAGTAATTCCAAAGAATTTGGAGTTAACACCATGAGTCTATTAAATATTCTCCAACAGTTTGCTTATTCATTTGTCAAACATTTCTTGGCAGTTTCTATGAACAGAGTGGAAAACGGAGTAAATGACTATTTAGACATTCAGAACTCTAGAGAGAACAACAAAAGTTCTTTTAGAACTGCTGGGGAACAAATTGGGACTAAGAATAGCTTAAAGGCTCCTTTTCTCTGAAGATAATTAGCTTAGAACTAGAAAGTGACTCCATATGTTGACACACTGTAAAGCCGTTGTAAACGCCAGTAAAAAACTATGTCCTGTAGGCACTTTTATAATATAGAAAAAGTGATGTCATGTTAAATATGAACCATGCTAGAATAACAATTACATGTTTTATTTCACATTTTAATCACAAGAGAGACTTAAAAAAAACTACACACACGACATGCTAGTTAAGAAAACATGATAGACACAATAGATTCCAGGAGTGAGGTAGATGAACTTGGTAATGGACACAGATATGGTTGAGGTCCAGTGTTCAACTTTGACAGAGCTGGGACTGACTTCTAGAAGAACAGTTAATGAAGTGACTGTACCATGGTAGTTTGCTCTTCAGTTTACCATAGAATCCAGTGGTTTATGGATTAGTGACGAACAAAAACAATCCAAATAGTAAGAAGACAACAGAAGATATGGGGAAGACTTAAGGCTGTGTGACAAAAAGTCTCTTAGTATTTAATATGCTCTATGACAGTTCTCACCTCAGTCCATCACATGTACTGATACTGGCAAGAGAGTCCCTTGCATTCAAGATGTGGCCTTCGTAGTAGCAGGGTTTCTGGGGTAGAAAATATATTCCACTACTTAAATGTAGACATTTTACACACACACACACACACACACACACACACACATGCACACACACGCAGGTACACACACATACAAAATAAATAAATACACAAATAATAAATAAATAAATATTTTTAAATGACTTTAGTTAAGTATATGGGGGTGTCTAATTGAGTGTGTAGGTACATTAGCATTGTGTGTATGAGTGTTGCTGTGTGTCCACTCTTATCTTTGAAAAGTTGTCTCTCTGACCATGGATAACCACTTATCTTCCCAGTCATTTGATGCATTTAAAAGCTATCCTCAGGCCTATGTATTTTACAGGGCAAATGGCCGATCCCAGGATGGATTCAGAGCCTACCACATCCTGAGAGCGTCTGGTCACCTCCTCTCCTCTGGCTGAGTAAGATGTTTCAGTGCAGTCTTGCCCCAGAAGATGCCTGTGGAGAGTAGAAAGCTGCATAATGCACTCATGATACCAATAAATACTGATTTATCTGACATCATCTTCTGTACTATGGGAATAACTGTGTATACAGTGAGACCGAGTTGACTTTTGACCATTGATCTTTTGCCAACATTGGGACTTTCCTAGTAAAATAAATCAAAGCATGAAGTTACACTTATTAACCCAAAGCGGGGAATTCATTCAATTACTTTTCACCTGCGGGTTCATCTTCAAACATGAATGGGTAGAGTCCTGATGGGATTCTTTGGAGCAAAGACAGGGACTTTGGAGGGTGCTGAGTCACAGGTATGGGTAGGAGACCAACAAAGGAGGCTTACTGACTGTTAGAAAACTCGTGGTACCCCTTCTCTCTTCCCCCAGAATCTATCTCTAGGTTGTGTACCCTGATTCAGGCTTGGGGTAATCTTGTGAATGTATGGGTGGGTGGGTGGTCTCTGTATGTGCATGTTTGTGTGTAATTGCATATGTTGCAGCGTATACATGGAGATCAGGGGACAAACTCCTATGAGAGTCCTCACCTCCCACCTTGTTTGAGACATCTTTATCTCTTGTCTCACTGTGTAAGAAAGGCCAGCTTCTAGAGGGTCTACTGTATCTGCTTCTTATTGGGCATAGGAGCCCCTGTGGACATTTATGGGAGATTGTCTTGGGTGCCTTAACTGATGTGGGAAGACCAAGCCTGAAAGAGCACTGTATGACACCATTCCTGGATTTGGGGCCTTGGAGTGTGTAAGAATAGGCAGGGTTAGCTGAGCAGGAAACATGCTTCAAGATCCTGCCACTATGATTCCCCACAATGATGAACTCCAGCCTGGAATTGTAAGCCAAAGTAACCCCTTTCACCTCTAATATGATTTTGTCAGGATATTTTTATCACAGCCACAGAAATGAAGCTACAGCCAAGAAGTGTCTCAGTATTCTGATAACGCAACCAGTGGCTGGACTTTAAGGAAGTGATGCTCCTTACTTGGTTCTCTTTAGGTGAAAGATAATTTCTTCTCCATTTAGTGTGATCTGATATTGAACTTCAGGCGCATATCTTTCCTGAAAATATTTAATAAAGTAGTTATGAGTACATAGTTCTCAGCTAATCTAAAAATTATAACTGTTATCTATCACATGTCAGTTATGTACACTATGCATTTGACTAGCAGAAATACAGAAGTTTAAAGCATTTCTCTTACATCTTATCTCCTATATCTAAAATAGATGTAATTTGTATATTAATAATGGATTCCTAAAATATAATCCCTTGACAGCCACATACATTAATCTACCTCTAATCTGTGACACAGAGATTTGTCATTTGCTTTGAATATATATATATATGTATATATATATATACACACACACACACACACATATATATATATATATATATATATATATATATTACCTGTGTACCATAATACCATAATAAATTACCAACAGGACAAGAAAGCATTATATCGTGAAATATATTTCCATTGAAATACATTTTAAAATGGTTTTAAAAATCCACTAAGAATTAAGTGATAAACATTACAGAATGAGGGCACATTGGCAACATGGTAGAATACCTTTCTACATTGCAGAAAAGTATAATCACTGGGGAGTGGATGGGCAAGGAGAAGGCAGGAGTGTGAAAAGGCTGGAAGGAAAGAGCGCCTCCTTCTAGAACTATCTGTCTTGCTTGCGAGTACCCACAAATTTGAGGGCACATCCAAGAAGCTTTGTCAAGTTGGGCAGTTGCTTCTCTGATGTTAAATTATAACCAAGTCCTGAGAAGTCATGGCTGTCTCTCCTCCTCAGGGTTAAGATGAGACTGCTGATCAGGCCACAGCACCTGTGGCAGCCCCTCCTCTCTCACAGATACTGACACCCATATCCTCCCTAGAGCACGAGCTTTAGCTAACAGACTTCCAGGTGTCCAGATTCCCCACCTAAGGAAGTAAGCTTACAACCTGGGACACTTTGAAGGGCTACCCCTGGCCAAGCATCCTGTTCCCAGCCTCCTTCCTTGCTCTCTGGGAATCAAAGAGCTTGACTGTAGACTCCTGTTGTAGAAACCCCAATTTCCTCAGAAACCTATAAGAGGGAACCCTTAAACTTTCCTCTTGAGCATGATTCCATTTCAGAGACCTGTCATGTCTATCTTTGGTGCTGGGGCATGAACTCCCTTAAGACACCTAGCCATACTGTTGTCTTCCTATTTGTTTGCCTGTGGTTTAAGGATGTTTCTGATAAACTTCATACCCCAATAACCCTTCTGTGTCCCCCTTGAGCATCACATCTCAGAATCTTCAAAAGCTGAGCTCATAGAGGGACTGCGAGATGAAGCTGCTGGAAGTTGACTGTGATATCACACTACTCCCCAAAGCCCTTCATTTTTGTCTGCAGGGGATTGTGACATATGACTTACCTCTTTGCCATATCTCTCTGTCTGATTGTTCTCAGTCCCTCTTCTGTGTGACACGGGTATTTTTTTAGGATGAACTATTTCATGGAGCTTTAATTCAGGGGCTGACTTTGTATCTATCACTGGAAAAAGCCAGAAAACATTGGTAAGAAAGACTGACCGTGTTTTGACTTGTTTGGTCCATTGCTTTGTCCTGTGGACATGAATTAACCATTCAAAACAGACAGATTGCTCCCCTGCTTCAATTTCAATGACAAAAGGATTGTTTCATGTCTCCCTAACTTCTAGAACAACATGGAAAACTGTGTACCTCCTTGTAGATAAGCAGTTCATCTTGTATTAAGAACATTGATTGGTAAATCCGGACTCTGCCTATAGTAACTGAGGACATTCCTTTGCAGTCCTCTTCAACTTGCAATTTCTCTGACCACCCTCTCCAAAAATGAAGATTTCCATGTGCAAGTAACACTTTACTCTTAGGAGAGACCCTATTCCCAATGATTTTGTGCCTCTGTTGACAACAAGCCAAGATGATCTTTCTATATAGTTTTACCCTCAAAACTGTAGATCTCACAGGATATAAAGCTCTTATTGACCTTTCTCAGAGAAAATTTAAAGAAATGGAGAGCACATGGGGAAATTTTTTTTATAATAAAAGCTTCTTCTTAATGTACTTCAAGTTATGCCAGATAGACAGTTTCTCTTATTTACAAATGATAAGGAAAGAAATGATTCAGAGTCAAAATTTGTGGCTTGCTATCCTAGCTAAAAGGCTTAATGAAAGTCACTCTGCCTTCCTATCCCTTGTTGTCTATATAGATTAGCATAAAAGCTGCACATAGAAACTGTGAAACTCTGCGGCCCTGTCACAGAAAAATGAAGGCACATCTTTTCTCTTTTTTTGGGAATTCTGCAATTGTTCACATAGGCCAATCAGCCCATTGAATGCTTGTGTTTCCACAGCTTTGATATAGAGTCTTAATTAGGGCAATCAGAGTTCTTTAGTGGTGAGACACTTAACTAAATTATTGTGCAAATAGCAGGCATAGTTGTGACCACAGAGTTCACTGACTAAATGGACTTAAAAAGAGTTCATTCGTATGGATGTTTACATGATGCAATTATTGTCAATGTTATTCTGCTTTACCATCTCTTTGGGAACCTCATGAGGGATTAACAATGTAAGAAACATATGAGAAATACAAAGACTACAGCCAACCCTAGACAAGAACCTTTGCATAGGATCATTGAACAAGTAGTGACTGTTTGAGTTTAGATAAATTCCTAGCTGCAGCCTTCAACTGTTTCAGCAGAAGATTTATTGTGTACATGTTTGTGAATGGAGATGTGCAGGCTCCCGGCATCTGACTCTTAAACATGATTGTGATGCCACCACTAGCAAGATAACCAGTGCTGGCACTGATGCACTTCGCTTATACATAATGTAGTAAGGAAGCTGATAGTGGTTATCAAGTTGTTGGTTAATCTCTCAATAGTCAGCTTTGAAGGGAGAAAGAGTTACCTTTCTAGGATTTTTCTTTTGACTATGCCCTACTACTGAGAATCCTTCCCTACGACTGAGAAATATCCCAAAGTACCAATAAATAGGCTTTATTAATGACTATATCAATACAGTTTCACTAACTAACATAAATCTAAATAGAGTAATAAATCAACATTTGTTTCATCTATTTTGAAAAATGTCATATCATATATAAGTATGATTTTTATTTAATGAAGTATATGAGATTTGAAAAAAAGTGAGCTTTAGAATACATTTCACATGTGATCTAAAACATAACCATCATCCATACACATGTATGTATAAACTGCTATGAATGTATGTAAGTATATAGTTTACTTCAGGAGACAAAGATACAAGAAATATACTGTGTAAACTGTACTGACCTTTGCATTGTGAGTGAAAAGGTCATTTTTCTCATGTGTATATTCATCAAATAATCTGATTTTTTTCCCTATAAGATGTCTACACTTACCTTGAGTTTGAATGATGAGCCAAAGGACAGAAAGCAGGACCCAAGACATGCTGGCTTCTGTGGGTAGCTGAGAGGTCCCAGGCAGCATACAGTTATGCTCTCTCCAGTGGCCAGTTCTGTCTCCCTCTAGTTCTCTTTAGGAGTTGAAAAGGAACATAGAGTCTCGAATTTTACTTGTGAGGTTAATGGATGTTTCCTAATTGTGTTGTGGACTAGCCAGTGAACTGCAGCATCAAAATCCTGAGAATGTCCCTCCCTTGAGAACAATGTTTACATCTGTAGGGAGGCTCATTAAGGGCTCTCAGCTGGGCAGCTGCTCCCCTTGAGTTCTACCCTGATAGGATTGTGAAGGCTGAGACTCAGGGCCCAAGCACTTAATTACACATACATTTGCAAATGTATAAAATGTCACTATCGTGCCCATATTTTAAGAAACTGGCACAGAAAGCATACCGTCTTTTAATTTTTTTCTTTTATTTTACACATATGGGTACTTTGCCTGCATGTATTTCTGTGCATTGCACACACATGTGTGGTTCCTACTGAGGCCAAAAGAAGGTGTTGGGTCTCCTGGAACTGGAGTTACAGATGGTTGTGAGTTGCTAAGTGAGTGCTGGGGATTATTGATTTAGGTCCCCTGGAAGAGCAGCCAGTGCTCTTAACCACTGAGCCATCTCCCCAGCCCCAAGTGTATCATCTTAAAAACAGCACCCGGCAAAATCTTGCAAACTTTAATAATATAAATTTCTCTGTTTTTAAATGTTAAAAGGAGATTCTGGTAATATCAACTACAAAGTTTCTTTCAAAGTACCTATGAGGTTAGACAGACACATAGGCATATGCACACACATACAGAACTGCAAGGAGACTCACATGTGTAAACAGTCTGAATAGTGTTAGCTTTACCCCAACTGCATGCATATGAGTCTGTTTGAACTATATAATGAACTCTGCTTCAGTCAAAGCAATATGTCTTTCTGATTACCCAAATATATATTCATTCGTTAAACAGAAGCATAGAGAAGGATGATAATTAATCAGCTGATGGCCCAACAGCAGGAAATGAGCTCTGTTGACATCTGCACAGTTCACTTTCATTTGTCTTTTATGCAGTGATATGGAGAGGAGACTAGTAGAAGAATGTCGATCCCACCGCATCAAGGCTTTAAGGCACTTGATATTTTTGCATAGCATTACACTGTAACAATCTTGATGATATTGAATAGTAAAATGATACTTGAAGGACCTTTGAATACTGCCTCGTGCACATATGTTACATGTAGCTATGGGCATTGCTTTGACTCTTAGGATTAATTTCTAAAAATGGTAATACATAGTTGAGAAATACAGATCAACTGGAAAAGTTATTGTTCCAAAATGACTCAGTGACTTTAGGCAGTTGGCCCCACACTAAACTTCCACTGAGAAGACTTCCCCTGCCTGCAAGCCACGACTTTTAACCGCTGACCACACCCTGTTGTCACACTTGAATCTGTCTGTCCTTGTGCATCCTCTTCCTCCTCTTGAACCGATGCTGTGCAATCCCATATTTCCTTTTACTGGTCCAGAAGATAAGCAGTTTTAACTTTTCACTGTTGTTATTAAAATATTAGTAATGTATAATAATTTGTCTTTTAGCATAAACTACTAAGAAGTTCCCGGAATGTCTTAACACTTACTAGTTTCCTATCTTACATGTTACTCTCAAGTGTTTTAGTATCAGGGAAGCTGAGAGAGCAAGCAAGGGGGTACATGGGAGATGCTGGATGGAGGGGAGGGAAGGGGGAAAATAATGTAATTATATCTTAATTTCAGAAGTTAAAAATAAAAATACAACAGTAACAAGAATCTTTAAGAAAGAACAAGGGAAAACAAGGATGTAGGCCTGAGAAACATTTAGCTCATAAAACTGTCACACTTGCTGATTGATTGGCTGAAGCAGCTGAGGGACACAGAGGTCTGGAACAAGTTCCAGTACTCAGCTTGACAACAGCATGTGTTTTATAGCTGGCAACTTCCCATTTGGTGCTTTGATAAGAGGTGAAGTCTGTCAGCCCATCAAAGACGGGAGATGCATCTCTTGCTCTGCCCTTGAGAAGCACAGCATTTTGAAGATCAGCGTTTAGCAACATTCATTGAACAGACACTCCATGCAAAGACTTTGAAAACAACTCTTTGGGACCCCTTTGTTTACCAGATAGCTGAATATCAGTCTATAAATTAAAAGTGTGGAAATAACATGAAGAAATTGTTTACTAAGTACATCTGGAGGGGATGAGAAATGGCATATGTACAAATTTTTTTGTTGAATCTGATTTTCAAGAATCAACTAAACATAGACCTTAACTTATGACCATAAAATTAAGGAATTTTAACCAACATCCTGATTACAGAGAATTCTGTTCCCATAAAGCTTGCAACATTTTCAGATATTTCATAATAAAGTATTTTGGGTGGTTTCAGTTGATGTCTAAATACTGTCTAACTAGAAATTGAAACAGAATTTGTACATTCACAAAATTACAATAATCCCTTTTATATTTAAAGATTTTCACATTTTTAAAATTTTTTTTTCATTTTAACAATAGCTATGAAGTGTAAATTCAAAGACTATCATTCTCATTGTATGTATTACTCAAAGAAATTAAGAGATGTATTCCAGTTTTCATGGACTATCTCAAGTATATGTCTCTTAAGTCATTAAGGTGAAAAGGGGGTAATTTATATCAAGACCAAAGTACCGCAAATATTTGATTGTAGACAATTTTCAAAACGGCTTCAGTTGTCGCTATGATGAAGTCTATACCAATTGCATTTGAGTGGGCAGGAGTTATTGGGATGGCTGACAGGTTTAAGGTGGGAAGTAATGTCCTATCTCTGAAGTAATTGCTCAGGAATTTATTTGCTCTTGACTGGTGTTAGGATATAGACCCATTGCCTCACCTGGAACAACAGGACATTGGAGTTACCCAATGAATTTTTCCAAGCTTAACTTGTCCAAACCTCTGGGAATCCATAAGGAAGTGAGTTGTGTAAATGATGGTCATAGCAAGCCACTGTACATCCATAGGTAAAGACTACTGTAGTAAACATGAAAATGCATGTATATCTTAAGAATGCTGATTTACTTTAGACACACAGTCAGAAGTGGAACAGTTAGATAACACAGAAGACCTAATTTTAGGTTTGCAATGAGCCTCCATAGATTTTTAGATCAACAAAGAATGAATGTACTATTGTTTGTAAATGCTTACTAATCTACATCCCCATCAACCGCAGAAAGCTCCTGTCTCCACATCCTCTAGCTTTTGTTATTTTAGGAATAACTACTCCGAATGAGGCAAGATGACATCTCAGTATAATAGTCTTGGTTATCATTATCCTGTGGCTGACTATACTGAACATTGTTACTTATCGGTTGGCCACTTGCCTTACTTCTTTTAGAAGAATCTATTTGGAACATTTGTTCATTTTAATTAGGTTGCTTGCTCTTTTGGTTCATTTGGAGCTCTTTTTATAAAATTCAATCTTTTGTCAGATAAGTAGTAGTAGCCAAGTATCACCTCCTGTGCTGTAAGCTTTTTCTTTGTTCTGCTGATTGTTTCCTCCACGGTGTAGATTTTGAGTTTGATGTAATCCCCCTTGGCTGTGTCTCCTGTGCTGTTGGAATCATATTATTAAAAAGAAATCCTTGCTTATTCCAGTGTCTTAAGTGTTTTACCCACATTTCCTTCTAGTAGTTTCAGAGTTTGGGGTTTTATATTTAGGTCTTTTTAACCATTGCATTATACTATAGTAGAGGATGAGAGGTAGGGGGTCAAATACTAACATTCTGCCCATGAATAATTTCCCAGCACCATTTACTGCAGATATCATCTTTCCTGTGGTTTAGTTCTATTTTTGCTTTTTGAGTCAGTTCTCTATGAATGTGTGGGTTTATTTCTTGGGTCTCTATGCTGTTCCAATGATCTGAGTGTTCTTCTGAACCTAATACCATGTTGCTCTGGTTATATGGCTCTGTAGTATGTTTTGAAATCACATATTGTGATGTCTCCAGTTCTGGTTTCTTTATTTTTCTTTGATTTTTTGAGTTTCTTTGTGCTCCTATGTACATTTTATGTTCCCCATCACCATCAGCAGAGTTTGTGAAAAATGTCATTGCTACTCTGATTGGAGAGCACACTGAATGTGTAAATTGTTTAGGTAGTACAGCTATTTTAACAAAACTGTATCATCCAACCCCTGAATGTGTGTGTAGATGGGTATTTTTCCATTTTTTGTTGTTTCAATGTATTTCATTTTTATAACAGCTTATTTCTTTTATGTGTGTTTATGAATGTTTGCCTAAAAGTAACTATACCATGTAAGTACAGTTCACATGGAGTTCAGAAGAGGGTTGGCTATTGGCCACTTTATTGGTACTGGAATTTGAAACCCAAAAAGCAGCAAATGCTCTTAACTGCTGAGCCATCTCTTCAGCCCCATCACTTCTATTTACTAATATAAATCCTTCTTTTCTTTTCCTTTCCTAAATTCTCTGGCCAAGATCTTCCTACAATGTTGAATACATGAGATAAGAGTTGACATCCTTGTTTTATCCTTGATGTTAGAGGAAATGGCTTTCACCATTCAGCATGATGTTGGTGGTGGGTTTGTCATGCATTTTCTGTTGTATTTATCATATGTAGGTTTTAGTATATTGAGGCACAATCCTTTTATATATAACTCATTCAGAGTTTTAATCATGAAGGGAATTTCATCTTAAGCTTATTCTATGCCTATTTATATAATGCAGATTTTTACATTCATCTCAGCTTATATGGTATGCTATATTTATTTTGTATATGTGCATTTTTGGTATAAATCCTGCTTGGTCATAATGAATAATCCTTTCAGTGTTTCATGGGACTCAGTCTGTGAATGTTTTGTTGGGGATTTTGCATCTGTTTCTCTGGGGATGTTTATCTGTAGTTTGTTGTATCATTTTCTGGTTTGGCAGGAGTAGAGGAGTTGTTTAGAAGTTTTATGGAGTGTTGGCTCTCCCTTCTTCTTCTGATCCTTTGCCTAGATTGAGTAGGCAAATTTCTCTGGGAATTGTCTTGTTTTGTTTTGTTTTTATTGATATTTCTAGGTTAATGGCATCTTCAAACCCAGTCTAGGCAAACAGAAAATTCAGGGAACTCAGCACCCTATGATGCTTGCACTCTGAGGTTCCAGAAGGCCTGCCTTCTGTACTTCATGTTTACAGTC